ATTGGATTTCCCCCATCTCTTCATTTTGGCTGCCAATTTTGCTCTTCTTTTACTCTCATTCTTTGTTTGTGTTCAGAGTGGTTTAGTCACTAATGGTCAGTCATACTTTTCCCAAAATAATGCTATTTGTACTGTGTAAGTCAGATAGGAGTCCAAGTAATTATTACAGTTTCTGTGCTTGCCTAGAAATAGATTCAAACTTAGGTCTGCTTTCTCTTGAACCGTCCCAAGAATGTGTGCACTACTAAAGGCATGATGAAGTTTCCCAAATTCTCATCTCCTGCATTGTGTGGCCACAAAGAATGTGGGAGTAAGGGAGAATGGGAGGGAGGGTTTACTTTATAAGGAAAGAGGATGTTTGGGACATTCACTCCAACCATTGTAAATAATTGTCTTCAGGTTTGTTTTATTGTGGGGAGATTTTAATTATGCTTTTTTTTTCATTCTGCTTAATAAACATTTGTCCATAAGCGGTATCTTGTGATCCCCGTCAGTAAAGCAGAAGGATTAATTTGCACATAGTTGTTTGTTATTTATTTAAATCATCGCAGAAATTATATTGAGTGCTCTGCTAAGGCAGCAGTGATGGGTCTCCGCACTGAAGAGTACAGCATCTAAATGTACTTGTATTTTAGGTGGTGGTGTTTGGTTGTTTTTCTAAAACAGTTTGGATTTGGAGGATATGGAGGAAAATGCCAACACGAGTAACTGATATGTAAGATCAGAAGAGGAGCCCGGTATTCCTTTTTAAACCAGTGTCTGGAAGCAGATTGCTAAGGAAAATATTTAGGAAATATTTAAGAAGTAGCTTCTGGCAATCAAGGTGTTGTTGCTCTTCAGGTTACTTATGTTTGTTACTTATCACCTTGCAGACCAAATCTTCGTTGCTTTCTTGTGGGACTTGAATATCTATTGCAGAGAGTTTAGAACATGGGCATGGTGCTATCAGGTCAGATCAGGGGTTCATGTAGCCCTGTATCCTACCTCCAGTGGAGGCTTTAATTGGATGCCTAGAGCAGAGTCAGAATAAAGGAAGCATATGATATTTCCCCCAATACTCTCCAAGCCTCCAGCTATTTTCAGTTCAGGGACTTCCTGAGCCAGATGTGGCTCTACATATTTGGTAACCCTCAGAGGATGTCTCTTGTGAACTTGTCCAGTGTTTGCTTGAGTCCACATAAACTTTCAACTTTCAATTTGGCAAGGAATTTCAAACATCTGGTGCCTCTGTGACTAGAGAACCTGTCTCTCACTTGTTTTGAAGTTTGCTTCTTCCATCAAATGCATCCTAATCGTTGTGTTGGACAAAATGCTTTTGTAGCTTTCCATCCTATTCCTACTTCCTGGTGTCTTTTCCATACTCAAAGGGTTATAGTTTCTTTGTATGGAAACTGTTCCATACCTTTGATGATTCTTGTTGTATTTCCCTGAACCTTTTTGTCTGACCATTCCTAGTAAGTCCAAAAAGTCTGTAGAGAGGGATTTTCTTTTGCAAAAGCTGTGTTGATGTTTCCTAATTCTGATCTTCATTTTTATCTGTCCTGATTTATCCAGAACAGTGATTGGTCTTGTGTAGTCTCAAATTTCTTTTTTTTTTTTAAAGCCATACTCCAATTCTCACCTCCTGCAAAGGCAGCTCCAATTTAGCGGCTGTGTATGGTCATTAGTAATTAAGCTTTTTGAATTTTATTAGACCTGTGGAGTGATACTGTATAGTCCCGAACTATTTCTTACCATTCGTCACTTTGTTCCACAAAAAGTCCCATCAGATTCAGACACATTCATCAAGTTCTTCACAAAGGAGGACTCCAGCATGGGAACCCCCCAAGATTTTTCCAGAGTGAGAACAAAAATTTGTTAAGCTTCTCTGTCATGGCACTGTGTTCTCTATATCTCCTTTTAAACCTCCATTATCATTTGTCACTTCAGACTCTCTGGCAGACTTTCTACTTCTGATGTGTTTGAAAAAATGAATCATTACTCATTTGATTCCCTTTCCTAGCTGTTTCACCAGTTCTTTCTGGCCTGCCTTATTACATTTGAAGTGCTGGAGTTTACAGTCTTTTCTGTTTTCCTCATTCGGACCTGGTGCTGGCTTATTGAAGGGGATGTCTTTTTGCTTCTAGAAAGCTGCAATGAGCCATGCTGGTCCCTTTGCTCTTATCAAGTCTTTCTGAATAGGTGGTGAATATTATTTCTGTGCTTTCCATGTGGTTGTTGTTAAGCAGCTTTGATGCTGTCAGTCAGATTTTATTTCTCGTAGCTATCTATTAGAGCTTCCTTTCAACAAGCTTTCTCTTTTTTATATAGTTACACTTTTTGAAATTAAGCACAACCGTAGTAGATTATTTGGGTTTCATTGTTCCTGTAGGGATGCTTAATTTAACTCTATTATGGTCACTGGTGCATAGTGGTTCTGCAGCTCTGGGGTGTAGAAGAAGGTGATTTCTGCTGCTCTGGACTGAGCCAAAGGCAGTGGCTTCTCATGCAGGTTCCCTAACTAGCAGCTCCATGGAACAACCTTTGACAGTTATCTGATACTTTGGTCTCTGCTTTGTAGTATGCTTACTCAGTCTATGTGGGAGGAGTTGAAATCTCCCTCTAATCAATCTTGCAGCGTGCCTTTACTGATCTTGCTTACTGTGCTGCTGTCAGCGTTGCTGTAGTATGGCCATGCCTGGTGGTTCCAGCACTGACTTTTCCTGATCTGACCAAGCTCCAGACCTCTGCTGCTTGGTGAGGTGGAGTTTTACTTTGATTTTTTTCTAAATGCTATGTAGCATATAAGGTTACTTTGTCATCAGCTGTCTTCCCTGTGAATTTGTATCCTAGGATGATGCAAACTAGTGACCCACTAATTGTTTCCTTTCTACCATATTTCTAATATGACTGTTGCTAGTGTTTTTGTTTGCAGCTTGATGTTCCAGTCCCCCCTCTTTGTGTAGAAGTCAATGTGTTGTTGGAATTTCTTCTCAACATTCTATTTACTCTGTAGTCACTGTGTGTCTGTTTTCATTCTTTGATTCTTCTCAGCATCTTCACTTGATGACCCAGAATCTCTGTCTTCATTTGGCATAGCAATGCCATGGTTTTGAACCATGTGCTCTTCTAATCCCCTGTCTTAATTTTAAAATTTCACTTTCTTGATCCTTAGGTACCAGCAACGTGGCTCCTATCTTCAGGTGAACTCCAACCCTCCTAAACAAGTATCTTTATTCTAGAAATATTCTGGTTCTTCATGAACCTGATCTTTTGTTTTGTCACCATCCTGTCAACTGGACATTCCAAGTTCTCTTTTTCTTTTTTCCAGAAGCCCATATTTTGCTGTCAGGATATCTTTCCTTTTTTTCCTTGTTACTAGGAAGTTACTAGTGTTACCCAGATGGACCACAACATAGGTTTCTCCTCAGCATTGCCTAGGAACCAGTCCAGGCTCTGTGACCTTTGCAGCTGACGGGCAAATAACCATGTGGTCTTCTGTCAGATCCCAGACTCCAGCTGTCTGTTTGCCTGATGATATTCCAACACACCCTTCTTAGTTTGCATTATAAAGGCCTCATTTATGCATCAGCAGGGAGAGGCTATTTATCAGAAAGGGTTGCTTTGGTCACAGAAAAATCTAACTGCCTGTGAAATGATGGTGAAAGGAAACAGAAGCACAAGTGAAGAGAACAAGTGCAGAAGTGGGGTTACAGCACTGACCTTAGGAGTTAGCACGGCCAGCTTCTGGCAGAAGTAATAGAGCAGATCAAGTTGTGGTAATAAAAACAACCTAAATAGGCATTTAAACTTGACTTTGTATTATTACTATTATCGCCCAGCAAATACTACTGTATTGTTGAATTAACGTAGTAAGTTAACATTAGGTAGAACAGGTATGTGTTTATGTGTTGAGTAAACAGATTTATCCGTCTATCAGAAACTCGGTGGGAGCAGTTCAGAGATGAAAGCATTTCACATGTGCTCGGCTATCTGAGACACTTGCTTAGGGCAGGGATGTGCAGGACCAACAGGTCCGTTCTAGAAGGGAGAAGTCCTGTGCTGCCTCTGTCATTTGTCTGAAAATGATACTAAATTCCAGAGTTTGGGGAAAAGCACGGGTACCTAAAATCGAGGCAATATAGACACAATATCAGGAGTTTGTTGAAAGTGTGCTCTTTCAATTATCTCAAGAAAATGGCAATGTCTGTTGATACAAGACTTACATCCTAAACTGATGTAGAAAACTCCTCTGACATTGTAATTGACTTGCTTTTTGTTCTAACTTAAATTCTCGGTGTATGTGGGTTCTCAGTATGTGATACATGTACTGATTGGTGTGTAACAGGTTATTTTGTGTTGCACTGATGTTTTGTTGTAATTTTTTAAAAAAGATATATCTTAGTAGGGGGGAAGGAGATTGAGAGAGATTGAAGTTGACGAAACCAAAATCCTGCTAAACCCCAAGACTTTTGTGTAAGGCTTAAACACGCAAACACTAAAAACCTAAGGGTTGCAGACAAAATATGTAATAAATATTAGTACTGGGTTGCTCAAAAAAAAAAAAGAGACAAAAAGTGTTTATCTTTCAATGTGTATTTTAGAGTTCTGCCTTTTTTCCTTTTTTTTTTCCAAATTATGCTTTTGGGTCAGTGCATCAGAATAATTCCTCTGTCGATCTGCCTCAGTAGTGTGCCCATGGAGAGCAAACATTTAAAATAACTGCTTCTGTATTTTAAGGCTGGGCATTACAGGATTGTGATGTTCCGAAGCACAGCATTTTCCTTAGAAGTTGTTCCTGAAAAGAGTAACTATACAGAGCACTTGGGCTTACTCCTCCTGCTCAGGCAAGGGGCTGTAAGGGTTCGCGTTACCTGCTGAGTAAGAGTGGGACCACTGGGTCAGGTGTGTAGCTCAGGATACCCCTTCTGATGAGGTTGCCATACAGATGTGACACAGTCCTTCTGTTCATGTCCTTCCGTTTCAACTCATGCATTTGCTTTGCTTGGCTCTTCCAACAGATCCCGCCTCAGTATGGTCAACAAGGTGTGAGTGGCTACTGCCAACAGGGCCAGCAGCCGTACTACAACCAGCAGCCGCAGCCTCAGCACCTGCCGCCCCAGGCACAGTATCTGTCGCAGGCTCAGCAGAGGTACCAGGCTCAGCAGGTGAGTGCCGTCCTCTGCTACTGACAGTCGCCCCGGAGGTGGAAGTGTAAAAATGATCTGTGTGATGTGAACAAAACCCACCCCTTACCTTTTGGAGGGAACAGTGTTAATTAAATAGCAATAATTAAATAATAAATTAAGCAAAATTAAATAAACATGGAATCAGACCATATCCTTCTGAAGAGTCTTTAGGGATATACACACAAATACAGACACACTTTCAGGATTTATTTCATATAAAGCCAGTGTATATACCCTAGCAACTATTAATTTTGGTTTTAAAAAGAAGTAACAGTTTTTTGATGAAATGTCAGTGGAGGCTGGAGGGTTTTTTTGCTTTTATTTTGTTTTCCCCTCAAAGTCAGATGTTGTTGAGAGCTCCTGCATCTAACGTGGTCGCTAATGTTTTGGGTTTTTTGTTACTTCATTTGAGAGCAGATGAGTTCAAGGCATTTTGGAGCTGCTTTGTCAAGGGAACTTCGTAAAAGATATTTTAAATGGATATTACAGCTATTAATTTCAGTCTTGTCAGTTTGCACATTGAGTTAGTGAAACTGCATAATTTGATATCCATTGCTGGTTTTGAATTGTGCTTTATATATTAACCATTAAAATTAATTTAAAGTGATTCTGTTTTTAACTGAGATCAGAAGTGATAGTGTGTGGGTCTGGTTCCAAGAGCTTGGAAAAACACTCAGATTTTAGATGCTGAACAAAATGGATGTGTGTAGCTGATGCAGTTGAACGTGTAGGCTCAGTTCTATCTGTAGTCTCAGGTCTGTTAATCACGGAGAGGTGATCTGGAAATGGAAGGATGAAACTAAAGCATACTCACCATCCTGGGAAATCTAACAAAAGTGAGTTGCTCAAGATTGGGTATTAGTGGAAGCATCAGCGCTTGCTGCAGATCACTGGGGAATTCTGTCAGGCATGGTTGATTAACATTTTGGGATAATGCTAGTGCAGTGTAGAAATCTTAGCTTGAAATAAAAATAGTGTGTAAAATAAACTAACAAAAGATGCTGTAAGTGGCAATGATACTGGAGGCTCCCCTCCTTTGACTTTAAAATAAAGCTATGATAATTTCACTGTGTAATTACATGTTAATTTTTCTTCATCTACATTTTAAAATTCCATTGAGAATAACTTTTTTCATTAAAATGCTGGATGGTTTATGAAATAGAATTCTTAATTGTATCTATGATATTCTTGTAAATGTCACCACTTTCCATCTTTTGGATTATATGTAACTGCAACTTTAAAGATTACAGTTGTGTCTTTAAATTTAATTTTCTTCCTTTTTACTTTGCCATTAAATGCTTGATTTCTCTATGACTTGAAAATACTGTTCATAAGCATCTTAGTAAAGTCTTGGCAGATAAAGTCCTAGTAATACAGCCTATGAGATAGAAGAAACACAGCTGCTCCAATGTCTACATATCACAGTTTGTGAAATTGAAATGGGTTTTTTTGCTGTCTTGGACACCTCCTCATTTTAAATACTGTCAGTTGAATGGATTGAGTATTTTGGTTTAAAAATACACAAAACATACCAACTATATATAGGACTTAAAGTATAACAGGGTACTGATTTATCTGTTGATAGGTGTTCCAATTACATAATTTTCTCTCACAGCTGGTAAAGTGAAGGTTTGTGCAGTGAAGTGAGAGGTATCATAGAAGGATAAAGGCAAAATTAGAGTAAGGCCTTCCATATATTTTGGACTTCAGAGAACTGGGATGAAGAGAAAGGTGAGAACAGATTCACAGGTAGAAGATACCAGCCTCGATGTAGCCAAAATGACCCTGTGATTAGCTCAGTTGGTTAGAGCATGGTGCTGATAACACCAAGATCATGGGTTTGATCCCCATATGGGCCACTCAGTTAAGAGCTGGAGTCTGGCCTTGTGGGTCCCTTCCAACTCAGAGTATTCTCTTGATTCTGAAATTTCTTTTTTGAGGATTTTGCAGGAGAGTCTAAATCCAGGCTCCAAGGGTAATACAGGTATCTGAAGGTCAGTAGGCATTTTTGCCTCAATCTGCAAGTTGAGATGATGCCTTAGGTCCTCACTAATACAACCTTGCAGTTGGTAATCCTTAGTTGTAAGAATTTCACCTGAATTCTTGATTGTTTGTGAATGTCTGTTTTTCAGGAGTGATCAGCCTCTTAAGGTTTGAACTCCAATCCCAGGTTCTCAATTATACTGGCTTTTTTCCTGGAGTATCTGTGTGTAGATGGGACTATTTTGTATAAATAATAAGTAGTTCCAAACACCTTGGGGCTTGCTTCTTTCCCTATCTCCAATAGGTTCCATTGCTGCTCATCCCCCTGTCTCAAACCGAGTCATGAGGTGAACACTTGCTCTCTAATGTTTCTCTGTAAAACCTCACCACTGTGTGCTTTCCCATTCTTTGGGAACTGCTAATCTAGAAACCAATTCCTGACACAAGAAAATTGAAGTCAATACTTCTGACACTTCAGCAACAGTGTTCTTTATCTGACGATAGTCTGTAGCAGAATTACTGTCAAGTAGTAACCAGTGTACAAAACAAAAATTAATACCAGGGTAACAAAAAAGTTGGAAGCATATGTCAAATTCTTCTGCTGACAAAAAAAAATTAAAAACTGTCCTTATTTAAGCATACATGTCTCTGCTTATATGAGACCGATTACCTTTCAGAAATAGTTAAAAAATTAGAATTTCTTTGATTAGAATTTTAGCAAGAGAAATAGGAGTAGGTACTCATACAGTTTTAGGAGCCACCAAGTGGGGGAATGTGGGTGAGAGCAGAGCCAAACTTATCTCAGGGGTACACTGGAAGGACAAGAGACAGTGGGGACAGACTGGGAAAAGGGAAGTTGCAACTTGGTAAAAGAAAATAAGCCCACAAACCTGAAAATGAGAAAACACACAAAATTCCAGAGACTGGAATTTCCATCCCTGGAGAAATTTAACTAGACAAGGCCCCCAAGCACCCTGTTCTTGTTAGACTTGGTTTGAACTAGAGGTTTGACGATATGACCCCCCTCTGAGGGTCTCCTTGAACATATGTGATTGTGTTGCTGTGACTTAATACTGGCTTTATACATTCTAAATACAGTATAAAAATAAACTACAGAATCATATATTACCTGTTGCACCAGGTGGTGTATCTTTCTTATTTCTACTCTTAAAAATATCAGTACATCCTGTTTATATAATCCTGTCAATTAGGAAACCGAGGTAGTCTCAGTCATACAATCTGTCATCCTTTCTGTCTGTCATCCTTACTTGTGCTTGCTTTTTCCAGCTTGCAAATGAATTTCCTTCATGTTTTATATATTCTTCATTAACTGTTTTTTTGTCTTTCTATACTGATTTTGTGATGTAAGTGTGATTGAACTGGTTTTACTTCAGGATGGAGAATGGAGATGCCAGATTGGAGAAAGAGGGCTTCTCTAATTTACCTTCTTTTCCCTACTGTATTTTCTTCATTTCCCTGGTAGATTTATGTCAATCTACTTGTTTTGGAGATTATAAAGCAGAAAGTAGTGTTTATTCTGGCTGGATGATGGACTTTTTCTTGCCACTGGTTTCCTTTTATGTAAAACCCTGTAGTGTGATGTTCTGGGTATTCTGTTATGGGGAGAAAACTGATGCAAAATTTCTTACAGATAATATTTTATTTTTGCTCTTTTAGACAGAATGTGAGTGAGCTCCTGCAGTCAGGTATAACTCTGTGTTGTGCCTTAGAATTGGTGCTCATCTTCATTTCTCAGACATTGTGGAAGTATGAAACCATTGCTGCTTTTCCTTGACTCACTTGAATTCAATATGCAATCTTGTCTAATAAAAGTAAACAGATAAAACAATTTCTGGGACTGTTCCAGTGACTTGTGACTTTCATTCTTCTAATAAGCATAGAGGGGAAGGAGGAGAATGGGATTTGTTTGAATGTTTGAACTGTTAAGTTGTTTAGATGTTTGTTAAATTGATTGCATGGTGGGCAGAAAGGGAGTTTCATAAGAGGTGATTTGACAGTAATACTGGCACAGTTTACTGTAGAGCCATATTGTAAGCCAGCATCAGTCATCCCCTCTTCATATCAGGAGCCTGCTGTGTAAAAACCATTAAAGGAAGAGCTTTATTTTAAGCAAATTTATTGCAGTAGCAGATTCATTGATCATTAGATATTGTAGATATTGCCAGTAGATGTAGATACTGCCTTTTTTTTAAAAACTTTTTTACCTTTATTGCTCTTTAAAAGAAAAAAGAGAAAGAAAGATGTGCTCCACTACTGTGGTGTTGCCCTTGGCAGGGTTTTTCATCTTGAAATCGCATATAAATGAATAAATGCTTCAGTTGTTTTTGCAGTTTTAAATATTTTGCCATAAGTAGAAGTGATATTTTGCTCAAGAATGTCATGTAATTGCAAACTTAAACTGTCATCATTAAACATTATTTTGTTAAGATAGTGTGATGTATATTTTTGGTTATTATGCTTTCCTGGCATTACAACTGGCTTGTAAACAGCCATGTTTATATATTTTCTTGTTTTATGTAGCATGTGTTCACATATATTGAGATAGGATCATACCTTTGAGCTTTATTGTGTTATTTTATGAGTTGGGACCATATCACTTTTTCACAGATAAAATGGATCTGAAAAATAGTTATGTTCTCACTCTTACTTAAACAAAAGTAATGATTTTATTCTACACCTGCTGCTGTTACTCTGAATGAAGCTGTCCTTTGTTTTACACATTTCTGGAAGCTTTCTGCTTGCAAATTTCCAGAACAGAGTGGGATTATACGTGCTGATCTCCTTTCTCACGTGCAGGCATGAGATTAAGAGGGGAAAAAGTGTGGCAGGTCCTTGAGGTGGAGCGTGCATGTGCCCTTTTCTGGGGCATTGGTCCTTCCGGTTAACTGTTCACAAAGTGGTTTTGTGTGTGTTCTTACGTCATTTTCTTGTGGTTACTAGGGGTTTTTTTTAAATGCCTTAAAGGAGCAGTTCAG